ACTTTTTTGTTTAAATTAAATTTCAGAAAAAAATATAAAGAATAAAACATAAAATTTATATCAAAAATTAAATGTAATTCAAATAATTTCAATAACATAGATAACTGATCTTACACAATTTCTTTATTATTTATACCATACAGCTTTTCTTTTAATAAGAAGTGAATGTACGATGATCAATCTGAACATAAAAGATTCAACAAATAGCATATATTTTAAATTAGAATTTAATAATTTTTTAGTTTCTTAAATCATGTTAATTTAATTTTCTTCAATTTCAATTGTAATTCTGTTTGTATTAAATACAATAAATTATAATTCCAAAAAGTAATAAATTAAATTTCTTAATAATAATAAGTAGCTACAAACATTGAATTCATCACATAATTGAATAGCCACTCTATGGAATATTAAATCCCTAGATATATTGGGAGTTTTTTCTTTCTTTAAAAAGCTTAGACGGATTTCTAAATTTATCTTTATCAAGTACTTATTAATTTAACCAAAAGAGAATTATCTGATTGATTCAGCTCTATTAAAACAAAAAATAAAATGATCAAGTTTAAAATAACTTCGTCCTCCCATGATCATGTAAAATATATCGTAACCAATCTCATAACAAAAACTTTGTTTAGCAACTCTCCTAAATTTATAATTATACATCCAGTCTCCAGAGTTAAGTAAAACACATACAATAATAGAGAACCTATAGCAAAAACGTATGCATTAAAGATACATAAAACCCGAATACCTATTTTAGCATAATATTTATAAATGCTTGAGCTTCTTTTATAATTAATTTAATTGTATCCAAATATAACCACTTTAAAACGATTTCCTATTAACTATAAGAATTTGCTCATCAATTATTTTTTTAATGAGGTTCCCAAACTAGTTGAGGGTCAGGAAGAGGTCGAAAATATCCTAACAATAAAGACTAGGATTTGGATAGTTAGTGTGGTATCCCTGCTGGTTAAGTAAGTGGCTAAAGTGAAAAAATTACATACAGCTTCTAATGGCTGATAATCATTTTAGAAGTTGCAATCATTTTTCTAAAATTTTAATATATGGTAAACCAATTATAATAGCATACAAAAATATTTTAAAAAGTTGAATGATTTTATCATGATTAAATCAAATGAAAGAAATATTTAAACTTTTTTCCACTTAAAGCTTTCCATGTACCTTGAATTTAATTTAGATTAATACTTAACCATAATAAATAAAATAATTCATATAGATTTTTTTAATTAAAAACTGAATGATCAATATAAAGTGTGAATAATTCATATTATCAGTTTTTATCCCTTAAAATAAATAACTTACTTCAGAATATGTTTTTTTAATCAATTGGAATTATTAACCATCAAAATATTTTTTTTTATTTTTACCGAACATCCTTCCCAATCATTAATTGAATTATAGAATATTCAATAATTTACTCTAGAATTACCAAAAATATTGCCAAAAATTAAAGTATCAAATTTATTAAAAAACAATAGAATTAAATACCTTGAAATTTTATTTCAGAGAATTTAAAAACCTAAGATTATAAATTAATAAATTTTTATAAGTTGTAAAATAGGATTTTCATAGTGTTATAGCCTTAGATACAATCTCATAAAGATTTATCCTAAAAGTAAATTATTTTTATTTATTTGATTATTTTAGTTGCACTACTTCAGAATCAAATATGTAAATACCTAGGAATGAAATTTTCAATTTTAGACTTTATCAAAAATCTATTTCTTATTGATCAACTCATTACTGAACTCTCTAATAAAACTGGCAATCTGATACAGCATACTTGTTCTTTCATCTTTAAAAATTTTGCATAGGAATTAATAGAAAAAATGTACAGGATACATTTTTTATTTAATTACCAAGTGTTGTTAATGATTCTATAATGTACATAACCGAGCAATCAAATATTTAAATAGATCTGGAAGCACTTTGAACCATCAAAAATTCGGACCCTAGTAAAAATGAATGAAGTTTCATACAGAATCGTTGAAGCAGTTAGATATATTGGTATTTTAAAACAACCTTTATTCCTGATATGGCAGCAAAAATTTTAGATCAACTGAGTGTTACAGAGGTTAATCGCAATTTTAGACACTTAACTAAAGAATTTGCCATCAAATCCTTTACTAGAATAAGTTATCCATAACCAATTTTTCTAAGGTTTGATTAGCAATTAAAGGGAAAAATAATGATCTTGGTAGATTCATAGTGCCATCTAGATATGCTCTAGGATATGATTCCCATAATAATATAATTTAATGTGCTATAGAATCAAATATAAATTACATTGAGACAATTTGTACAAAACTTGAAAATTTTTCCTAAAACTTTGGCTATTACAGAAAAGTTTAAAAATGTTTTTGCCTCAGTTGGTATGCACATGAGTGAGGTAAGGAAAGTAATAAGTGCTTCAGAATTAATTAACCTAGCTAAAAATGATCGAGTGGTAGGGTTAGGAGAAACAGGGTTAGATTATCATTATAAAAAGGATACCAGCAAAACCTTCAGAAACAATCATTTAAAGAGCATATTAAAGCAACTTGCGAAAACAAATTACATACAATAGTTCATACCTGAGAAGCTGAAAAGGTTACTTGTGAGATAATAGCTTCAAATAAAAAAATGATAATTTTCCTGGTCTTATCGATTGTTTTACGGCTTAAGAAAATTTGCTCGAAAAAAACTAAATCTTTGTTTTGATATTTCAGTTGTCGAATTGTTACTTTTAGAATGCTTTTGACTGAGGTCTATCTTTAAATTTACACCTTTAGATAGACTTCTAGTTGAAACTGATTCTCCATATCTTGTGCCGGTTCCTAACACAGGAAAAACAAATGAGCCCTCTTATATGCTATTGTTAATTTAAAAAGTATCAATTTTTCTTAAAATTGAGATACTTCAAAAATAAGAATGTTCCAATCGGCTGATAAATATATAATTGGAGTAAAAGTATTATCAGATTGAATGGAATATCAAAAGAATACAAAAGAGTTATATGTTAGGAAATAGTAAAAGAATTAGTCTATTTATATTAATAAATTATTATTACAAAGGAATTATTAGTTGGAATTAAAAATTATTGTTTTCTACCAAATATAGGTAATATTGAATTATTAATTGATTAAGGAACATTGTATTAGAAAGTAAAATATTAATGGAAAGAGAATTTAAATCATTTCTTAATGATAAAGAAGAATTTATCATAATCAGATTCAAATTATTTCTAATTTACAATCATTTCAACAGAAGTACAATTTAATAATCATATTAAACCAAAAGAAATCTATAAAAATTGGATTAACAAACAACAAATTTTGATTTAACCATGAGTATAGTAGAATAAATAAGTATTTTAAAATAAAAATTTAAAGTCAATGTTGCATTTGAAGAAAAATTAGGATTATTAAAAATTGTTTTCTCAAATCTTAGATTTTTAATGCTGGTTTATTGTTAGATTAAGCAAAATCAAACATTTACATACATTTAAGGCAGTCAATTAATGTATAAGTAGAGTTTTAATCCTTAAAGTTCCTGGAGATCATAACAAAATAAGTTAAAAGTTAAATAGAACTACTTAAAAGGTAATATATATAAATTGAATATAATAATTCAAAAAATCTTATTCAATAATTATTAACTATTTCAATACGTGAATCAAATAAATAAGCATAAGGATATAAAACTTGTGAAGTATCAATTGACATTTGTTATATTATAATGTTATTAATTTACTTTTTCTTAGAATGATCTTAAGTTTTTAAATATTAATTTTTTATCTTTCATTCTAATGTCAACTAAAACAGTATCATCGTCATTTAGTTTAAATGAATAAGAATCAATATAATAACGGTTATTTCCCTTCAATTCTCCAGATTAATCCTAAGAACCGATATCTATTTCAATTAATATACCTTATTTAATAATGAGAAATGCAAGTTTTATATTTTAATTTAATGAAATGCTAGGCTCACAGAAAACTTACTACAGAGTCCAATCAAATAAAATTGCTATCTTTCCACCATTTTCAACTCTAATATTTCCTCTTTAAATAAATTTAAATCTGACATTTTAATATTAAGAGTCTATATTTTATAAAAATTATGTGGGTTATTATTGTTAAGATTAATAATATGAGTCTTATTATGATTATTAAATTATAAATTATATTTGTTAATTCATTTATTATTTTTTTTATTATATCTAATCTATTTATTGTTTTTAATTTTCATTTTCTAATTTTAATTTTTGTATTTATTAATTTAATTATTCGTTCTTTTATCTAAGTTAATTGATTTATTCATTTTTCTAATTAATTTCTACTTTTTAAGATTATATTTAATGTTATTATAATTAGATTTAAATAATATATTATTTAATTTCTTAATCTTTTTGTTAAATAACTATTTTTAATACATATAATTTTGAAGAATTTTCTAATTCCTATGCGGTTGAGATAAACTTTATTTATAGTGGCTTAGAATCTAAAATAATAGTAAAACAATCACTAAAAAATTGCATACAAGATTTATTTATTGAAGTAATATGTAAAATAATCTTTTATAAAGATGCTCTTAAAAAAAGGATATGGAATAACGAACTCCTTGTTATATTTTTATTTTAATAAATAAATGAGAGGGGAATAAAAAATATATAAATAGCTTGATGAATTTTTTTAGGTGATTTAAAATTTTCTAATATTTTAATGGTTTAAGTAAAAATAGATAGTTTATAATATGTGATTGATATAAATTAAAATGGAACTTAATTATAAATTTAAATAGATCCTGGCTTTATCGAAATTAATATCAAGCTCTAATGCTTTGTTTTAACACTCTAAGCTTTATTTTTTTGTTTAAATTTGTTATTGTGACCTTTTTTTGATGAACATAAATAATTTTATATATATCAAATATTAGATATATACCTTTAAAATAATAAGTTTGAGAATGATTGGGTGATATCTCTTAAAATTTATTATTACACTTCAAAAGTTTTCATATCTATTTAAGTTTTGTATTTTAATATTTGTACTAGTTATTGGGATATAACATTAATAATTTGTTAAAACATTCTGAAGCTTCAAAATATCTGGTTAGCCAAACTATTTCAACATTAGCATTGCTCAGAGAAAAGCATTCCCCTAATTTTTTAACATTTATTACTTTATTTCTTCATCCACATCAGAATTATGATTTAATTGTAAACATATATTAAAACAATATAAAGCTTCATTATATCATGTTTAATTAATTTAAGTAATGACCTAATAAATATCAAATATTAACTATACTTTTAATATTAAACATATCGCCATCATTAGTGTTGACCCCCTTTGATTGGTTTAAACACTCAAAAGCTTCTTTATATCTATTTCAATAAACTATGTTAAACTATTATTAATCAGAATAGGCAGTTTGCTAATTTATTATATTCCAATATTTATTATACCTTTCTCTTAATATACATCAAGGGATTTATCTCTATTAATTTGTTATAACAATCTAAAGCTTCTTCATTAACTTATGTTAAACTATTTATTTAATTAGATTAAGCAATTTGCTAATTTCATAATATTCAATATTAATTATATCTATATTATTTAAAACATCCTTAGAATTTTACTCTAAAACTTTGTTAAAACGCATTAAAGCTTCTTTATATTATTTTACCAGTAGAATTGATTTCCTTTTATGGAGTTTTCTAAAATACCTTGATTCCCCATTTATCCCAAAATCTCCTTTTAAATTTCGATCATTTTTACTATAACCTCTCTTTCCTTTATCATTACAAGAGTATTGACTTTTAAAATCATTTTAATGAAATAATTTTATGTTTTTGATATTTCTTTTTTTTGCTTGATCCTAAAATCCACCTAAGACTACAATTTTTCTTAATTTTACAAAATTTCAAATTCTCTAATAGTATCTTCATTAATTAAGGTATGTGATTAACTAAGTATATAGTTTAATTATTTTATTCAAAAATTTATAAAACTTCTCCAAATCAAAAATAATCAGTGATTAAATCTATTAGTCTAGTAATAATAATTTTTTCATCTTAAATAATTACAAAAAAGATAAATGTGATATACCAAACTGCTCCTTTTACAAAATATATGCTTTTAATCATTTTCATATTAATAAAAATTTACCAGAAATCAAATATATAAGATTTTAAATTCAATATTTTATTTAAAATATAAAACATATAAATATTAAATTATATATATGTCCAAGAATTACTAAAGGATTTTAGATAATTTTCTTAATCATAGAAAATCTAGTTTAGAATTATTACTACACTTAATGTGCTTTTAATAATTATTAACTTATTTTTTTTTAATATTTTATAAGATGAAATATTTTAAAAATAAAATTAATTAATATTAAATAATAATAAAAATGCATTGATTTCTATTAGCACTCATTATATTCTTATTTCTATTCTTCATTAAATTGTTGTTGACTAATAGAATTTAACTTAATATTTAAATTCATTTTGCTAAACCATATAATTATGAATAGCTGATTTTATTCATAAATTACAATTATTTTCTCAAATACAAAGTCCTATTTATTTTCTTATAGCAAAGTAATAGATACAAAAGCAGGCTTTGAATTTTAAAATGAAAAATTATTTATTGGAATTTTTTAAGATTGTAGAGAATTAATTTTATTTATGTGTTATTAATTCCATCTAAACAAAAAGAATATATTTTTATTTAAGAAATATAAAATGAATTTATATTTTTGGAAATAGAAAGATTAGACAAAAAACTGATATAAAAACAAAAAAACTTAATATACCCTTTCATTTCGATTTTTAGTTTTTAATTTTGTATGAAATATATGATGGCTATATTATAAAAAAATTTGTTAATTTTTTTTGTGTAAAACCAACAAAATCTTGTTTTTAATAAATAAAATATGATAATAAAATCAAAAGGAAGACAACCCGATTTGACATATTTGCTTGTCAAAATAATGAAATTAACACATCAAATGATTGGAGAATTGATAAATTCAAATATGAATTATAATAATTAATCTGTATTTAAGACTAAAAAAAATCAATAATTGAGAGGAGGTGGATTTGCAATATCAAGCTGTAGGTTTGGATAAGCTCCTTAAGAATAAGAAATACAAAATTTAACAGAAAATATGACATAGTATGAAAAAGCGTTGCCATCAAATTTTTAAAATGAATTTGATGATTCTGTTAATGATATTAAAGAAGGATTTGGTAATCTGTTTAATAATTCTATAAAAAATAAAATAAAAATAAGAATTTAATGGTTCAGTTATAATAAAAATATTTTTAATAAGCTGTGCATTTAATCTGAAATTAAACCTGATTTAAAAAATAAAATACTTGTTAATCTAAATTATCTATTGGATGCATTGCCTAATTACTTAGAAGTTTCATGGTTTTTGAGTTATTAGATAGCATAAATATGCAACGACTTGTTAAGAATTCTTTATTCACAAAAATTAGATGATCCATAAGATATTTTAAAAAAGGTCAAATATTTTTGTAAATAATTATCAAATGAGTCTGATAATATTTGGAAAGGTGGTCTTGAATTTGAATGTTCCTTAATGGATATTATGTTAACTAATCTTAAACAACCTGGAGAAGAACTTGATCTTCTAAAAAAATTGGGTAAAAGTTTTGGGGAATCTATTCTAGAAGGTAAAATAACAAAAAGTTTATTGTCAAGTCTTAAAAAAGGAGCAAAATACTTAGTAAAAAAAACAATAAATAAAGGATTATATCCTATAGAAGTATATTAAACTTATTATTTATTTTAAATAATAAAATGGAGAATTATTGAAACAGATTCTCAATCTGTCTATTCATCTATATAAACTTTAAAAGGCCTTTTTTAATAATATATCTAAGAATCAAATAATTGGATTTTGCATTTCTGTTGGATTCAGACCATTACAGATATTATTCTTTATCGACCAATTATTGATTAAGAATTATTATAATAATAACACTTATAAGAAACAACTATGATTTAAGAATTAGCATTTGATCATAAAAAGGCAATCATATTATTTTTTGATTAATAATTAAATCCTAGCTTAAACTCAATACTTAGTAATTACAGAAAGAATGAACTTTAATTGCTTTGTAAAACCCTAATAGATGAATAATTCACATAAGATTAGAATTTATGGGATTATTATACAAACTTTCATTTCATTTATAGTGAAAAAGTTGATGTTAAATAAAATAGCATAATTTAATTAGAGCGGGAATAGGAACTACTAAAAAGTTAATTTGAATAATTAAAGGAACTTTTTGATTAAATTAAGTTAACATAAATAGAAATTTAAGAAACTTTGATAAGGTAAGCAGTAAAAACTGAATTATCAAAATAATTATTTGATGATCATAAAAATAGATTATCTTGTACATATTATGATTTATGGAAAAAAGCAATTTACCTAATCAATTTGATTTTAGATTTTTTGAATTTTGATTATGAAAAACTTTAAATATTGAAAAATTTAGAACAATTTTGCACAGATTAGACATTTTAATAACATTTTAATACTATCAAAATTTTTGTTGAAGAGGAATTTCCACAATTTTAATAAAGGTTTTTAAAGGATTTTTTAGATCAAATATCCTTCATAAGTAATTTTGCATTTTTAGAATAAGAAGAAATTAAACTAAACAATTAATATAAATAAATTAAGATATAAGAAAATTTACCATTAAATAGTTTTCTTTAGTTTCTTGATGCCCTCCATCAATTATAAATTTTTATTGATTTAAAAAATGAAAATAATAATGTGAAAATTACAAATTTGAATCAACAAAATATTAACTAGTTTTTTAAATAAATTATTGAGGGTAATTGGATTAGATATATAATTACTAATATTTAAGATTAATTTTAAGAAAAATTCTAATTTATGGATGATCTAAACGAAATTTCTGAAATCAAAAACTAAATAATTAAATGCCAAATCAGTATTTCAACTATCAGCTTTTTAAAATAATTTTATGAAGTTCAGATTGAGAAGATAAAATGGATAAAAAGAAAATTCTAAATGTATCTAAATTAGGATCAATAATAAAATCATATAAATGAATTAAGTTTTTTAAAAAGATTTAATGACTTATTAAAGAAATAAAATGAAAAATTGACTTCTTTTAGAGAAAATGTAAGTCAGAATTTTAATGTTGATATGATTAAGTAGAATTTTGAATTGATTGATTTAGAAATTGATTCTGACATAAAGACAATTAAAACAGAAATACAAAAAAAAAAAGAAAAAACAGAAGAAAAAGCTTGTATTGAAGAAAAATATTATAAGAAGGGAATTAAGTTATTGCTTGATTTTTAAGCATTGTTTATAATATTTTTAAGTCTAATTAATGAAACTAAGCATAAATCTTAAGATAAATCAAATAATAATAATTTATTAATACAAGAAGAGCAATATTTGGAAAAATAAGGTTAAGAATTCTTGAAAAAATTGGATAAATTATTAAGCAATTTTAAAGAATTTATAAAAATAATTGAAGAGAGTAAAGAACCAGAAAAATAATAGGATAACTCCTTATATTTTGAAATTTAATGTTGTGAATATTGGTATATTTCCTATGAGAAAACTATTAATTAACTTAAGAATGCCATGAAATTTTATTAATCTTATAAGAAGTTCTTATTAATTTATTCTAATTTATTTTACTATTCAGATTCTCTTTAATAAAGTTAATAATTTGAAAATGATAGTTTCAGAGGGCAAATTATAGATTTTAGAAATTAAAATAAAGAATGTATAGATCAACTAGAAGACTCTATAAAAACTTAATTCAAAGATTCAAAAATTTAAGTAGAAAAACCTAACCATAATCTTACTTTGATACAATTTTTAACATTTTTTGAAATGGAAGCAAACGAGGAATAAAATGAAAATCAAGCTGAAGATGAAATGAATGTTGAAGTATTATCAGAAATAAAAGATTATTTTTTATTAAAAAAAAACGAATTAGAAAATATCATTGAAGCAAAGGATTATAAAGTGGGAGAATGTTTAGTTTACAATTTAATTAGACTTTAAAATAGTAACTTAGAGGATGAGATAATAAATTTCGCTTCTCAAAAATTATAGTAAATTTGGGTTTATGAGTAAAATTAAAGAGTAAGAAGTTTGTTAAAAAATAAAGAATTAATCGACATGTAAAAATAGATTTTTTAAAGAGATATTTAAACAATGTCTGAGTAAATTAAACAATAAATTTAATATAAAATGTAACGTTTAGAAAATCTTTAATAATAAATTAGGCTCTAAGGAAATCCATAAGAAAGGGAAAAATTATAATTAGAATTAAAACTATGTTATTAATAGCTTGATGAATCAATCGATAACGTATCTGAAATGTCTGAAGCTATGAATATAACTCTAATGTTTTTGAAGGATATATCAAAAGATGTAAAATCTATAAAAATTTCAATAGATAACTTATAAACTAGCTTATAGGATATTGGGAATGATATTCGAAAACTAAGAGGAAAAAAATATGATGAACTTCTTTAAATAAGAAAATAAAAGATTCTTTAATAAGCCTAGCTATAAAAAGTAGATTCCATATATGTTTAATTATAAACAATAGAAAGAAATCCTTTAGATGGTAGTTTGAAGCCTGGATCTTTTTTGTTAAAAGAGTAAATATAGGATTAGAATGGAGAAGTAAATGAATTTATTTGGCATGAAACATAAGAAAATAAGGATAATACTGGAGAAAAGGATGTTATGTTATTATCTGGTTTTGCAGGTTCAGGAAAGAGTAGAGCAGCTAAAAAAATAGAAGAGTTTATTTGGTAATCATAAGGGATTTAATCTGAATGGATTCCAATCTATGTATCTCTACCAACTTTGAAGAATCCAAAATATAATTTATTGGATTAGGCTTTGGAATCTGAAAATTATTAATTTGATAAATACTAAATAAAAGAATTCAAAGATGCAATATGCAAAAAGAAAGCAAAAGTTGTTTTGATTTTAGATAGTTATGATGAGATGAAGTAGGATTGTATTTAATAAAATCTTATCATGACAAATAAGTTAATCTAAGATCTAAATATTGAAAAAAATGATAGACAACTTAAAATAATAATTACAACAAGAAGAGAAATTTTAAATACAGATGGTTATGAGACATGGTTTTATGGAGAAAGTTTGAAAACTCTAAAAGAAGTATAATTATTAAACTTTAATCAAGAGTAGTAAAATAAATATTTAGAAAAGTATTGTAAGTTAAGTATTAAGAGAACTCTTAGGAGAACTTATGAATTTGTAAAATAGGTTTAAGGACAAAATTTTGATTTAGCAGAGTTTATTAAAATATGGAATTCTATTCTTAATTAAGTTAAATAATGCTTATTAAATTCAAAAATAAATGGATTGGATTCAATATTTTAAAATCAGTAGTAAGAGATGATAATTAAAAAAATCAAATAATAAGCAGTTTTTAAATATTTATCAGATGAACAAATTACAGGATTTAGAAAGGATCTTTTAAATTTATGGAGTGTAAATAAATTTATAAAGTCTATAAACTCGGTTAATATTTAAAATCTATTGACAACTCCATTTATGTTAGAGATTATTGTTTAGGTTTTACCATCTATGACAAAGAAATATCAAGGATCAATTGAAATTAAAGAAAATTTTAGATAATTCTATTTGAGCATTAACAAAAGAGCCAAATTATCAAGGAATTAGATTTAATAATTTAAGTTGAAAATGGAAGAATCTTTAAAAAATAAATAAGAAAATCAAATCAATTATTAATAGTAGGAAAACAAATCTATTATAAAAAGTTCAAGAATATAGTAAACTTAAAAAAAATAAAAAATAGATTAAATAATCGATTCTCTTGATAGTATATAGTTTTTTTAGTTTTATTCAATTGATAGCAACATTTAATTAAAAGAAGGGAAAATTAATATTGACGGATAAAATTTACAAGTAAGTGTTAATAATCTTGACATAGTTGTAATGGCATTAAAAATAAAATAAATTACAGCTTTTGAATTCTATGAAAGTTTTATCAGCTTTTATCACGAATAGTAAATTTTAAAATAAAGAGAATTAGGTAAAGTTTCAAATTATGAAAGTTTTGCTAAAGATATCTAATAATTTTCTTAATCTTTAGCTTTGGATCTAACAATCAAAGATCTATCTTAAATTAACTATAAATAAAAAGGGTAATTGCTTTTATAAAGTAATTATAAAGCAACTTAAGAAGTAGACAATTGGTTAGATTAATATTTAAGTGATTCAAATTCAGATAAAGAATATAAAAAATTGATAAGAAGCTGTATTCTTTTAAGTAACAAAGGAAGCACATATTAATTTACTCATAAATCGATATAAGAATTTTTTGTTGCATAATATGTTTATAATTTTTTGGTTTCACTTGGAAATTTAAATTAAAATAAAGAATTCTATAATTTAGAGCATTTAATAAATTCTCTGTTTAATTCACCAACTTTTAATTTATCCTGTGAAGCATTCAGGGGAGCAAATTATTTCATAAAAGATAAACTACTTAATACAAATATAAATTAAAAAATGATAGATATAGTATTATTATCAAGTAAGAAAGAATTTTGTCGAGCAGCCTCAAATAGTATATATTTACTCAGCTAGATGAATATTTATTTAGGATCTTAAAATTTTAGTTCTATTTAATTAGCTGATACAAATATTTCCGGGTTGAGCTTCTTTGAATCTGATTTTAGTAATTCTATTTTTTAGAATGTAACAATAAATTCTTGCAATTTTAATTAAACCAATTTGTCAGATATTATGTGGAATGATGTGATATGTAAAGAGAAGCCTTATTTAGCAGGTCAAAAATTGTGCTTTAAAGCTGTAGCATTTTCTTCTGATGGTAGATATATAGCATCAGGAGGAGAGGAAGGAATTGTTAAATTATGGAATCCTCAAACTTATATGTTTATCTAAAATTTAATGCCTAATCACGAAAGTTGTATCTAATAACTTTAATTTTCTTCTGATTCTTAATTTCTAATTTCTTGTGATTAAGGCGGTAAAATAAAATTTTGGGATTTACTCAACTTTACTTAAAAGCAAATTAAAGTTCCTGATTTTATAGAAAAAATTTAAAAATTCTAATTATCTGAAGATTGTAAAAAAATCTTCATTCTAACTGAAAATATATTTGTCATCTAAGACTTTGATATATTATTTCTAGAAACAGAGAATCAAAAAGAATAAGAAATTAATCAATTTTTGGTTTCTCTAATAAATAAAAATCTAGATAATGTCTTATTTAATGTGAATATTATTCCAAATTTAAGTAAATTTACAAAATTGTTGGATAATTTTGATTTAAACACTAAAATTATAGTTTTTAGTCCAGATGGAAAATTAATCGCAGTTGCAGATGAATTAATGATCAAAATTTGGGAACTTTAAACTAATTCATTTATTGAATATTTAACTGAATTTAATGTTTTTTCTTTATAATTTACTTCTGATAATAAAAGTCTAATTTTAGGAGGAAAACGGACATTTAAAGTTAAAGAAATAAACTCTTTTAAAATTAACGAAAAAATTGCTTAAAAAGTTACTTGTTAAGAAGTTTATATATCTCCTATCAATAATTAAATAATTGCAATTGTCATTGAAAAAGAAATTTAAATAATTGATATTTAATCAAATAATCTTTTAAATAACAAAAAATTTGATCTCTAGCCTAAGAATATTATAATTTCTCAAGATGGGTATAAGCTAGCATTAATTTTCAAGAATGAGAAAAATTATATTGTTGAATTTTTAATATTATATTTCGACAATCTTAATACAATAATAAAAACCAAGTGGGATGATAACCTTTTTAATTCCTATTTTTTATCAGATGATTTAAGTAGAATGTATTTATCAGGTTAAGAGAAGACCTTTGAGCTAAATTTATAAATAAAGATCGGAAATCCATAATTATTTAAATTAAAAAAAAATCTTGAAGCATAAATATTTTGTGTCAAACCTCAAAATTAGATTATGGCTTATGTCGAATCTGAAACATAATCAATCTTTCTTTTTAATATTTTAACTGAAAAATAAATAGGATAAGAATTGAGAAATGGTTAAAAAGAAGTTTAGGCGCTATGCTTTTCTCCAAATTAAAATATTTTAGCTGTTGGCTATTAAGATGCATAATTATTAGTTTGGAATTTAGACACATACAAACATCAATAAATAGTTTTCTAAAAAATTATTTCTTAAGACTAATAAATAGATTTAAATTTAGAATAATTGACAGAATATACACTTAATTTACATAAGAGTGATAAATTTGAATAGTTAATTTTTTCTCCTAATGGAAAATTATTTGCAATTAATGGCTTTGATAATCTTTATGTTTATGAAACTTAATCATGGAATTTAATTAAATTTAAAATGAATCTAATCATAGTTTAAATTAATTTTTCACATGATAACATATATCTGGTGGTTATTAGTTACAATTCTAAATATTTTTGTAATATTGAGAATAATTACTAATTAACTTATCAATCTCCTAAGGAATTTCATTATTATAAAATTTTTTTAACTATAGATAGTAACATTTAGATATATGCAGATTAGGAATCAATAATATTGTTTGATGTTTCAACTTAAATTATGAAAAGCAAAAAATTGGTAGGTTCAATAAAGTATATATCAATCTCATAAAATAATTGTATAATGGCTGTAGCTATATAATTGAATGATAATTCTATAATTCAAATATGGAATTATTCTAACAATGAACTAGAAATTATTGCAAGTGAATTGTTTTCTTTTTAAATAATTTAAATTTCCTTTATTAATAATGATTAAGAACTATTATTGTAATTTTATGAAGAAGACAGATTTAAAATAAAATTTTATTTGATAAACCATTTTTAATTTAAGAGTATTGAAAATTAAAGATTTAATTGTGGTGCATTTTCTAAAAAAACCTAAATCATTGCATTAGGATATTATAAATAAATTAGCATTTTAACAGATAAATTAGAGAGTTGTCTAAAAGCTATTGATTTTAATTAAGATATAAATGAGAGAACTCTTGTTTAATTTATATAAAATGATTAAATAATTGTTTGTGGAAGTTAGGATGGTTTAATTTCATTTTGTAATTTTTTAGAATAAAAATGCCATCTCACAAATTTCAAGATTTCATATAACTCCATTTTGAAGATTTAATTTATAAAAAATGATTCTATTTTAATAATCCTGGATGAAAAAGGTAATTTATCAGTATTTTGGGTATTATATGCATAAAATTAAATCAATATAAGCTTTATTGGATATTATGAAGTTATAAATTTTTTTTCAGCTTCATTAGATGGGGAAAGATTCATTGGAATAAAGAATAATTAATACATTATAAATTTGAATGAATCAAATTTTGATTTCTGCTTAACTAATATCTAAGTTGAATTATAGAAAATATATTTTTCTTTTTGTATGAACTTTTTAATCATTTTAGATAGTCAACATTAAATAAAAATATATTATAAAGAATTATAATTTAATCAAATAAATGAATAGATTGAAAAGGTAGAAGATGCTGATCTTCATCCAAGATTGAATTTATTAGCTATATATACAGAAGAGTAGGAGATTAAATTAATTTAATTTTCAGCTATTAAATGGTAAGTCATTTTTTCTATAAGGTCTTTTACAGTATTTATTTAAGATTCTTTTCATGGAAATTATAATTTAAAATTTACCTAAAATGGTTAAATATTAGTGTTAATAGATAATTCCTTAATTCGTTGGTATTAAGTATAGAAAAATAGAACTCTAAAGGTTATGGGTTTTGTTACATAAGAATATGTAAGAAATCCCATTTAATCAGATTAGAGAATATATTTGTTCGATAGTAAATATTTAGCTTACATTTCAAAATAAAATAAAGGATTAAGATGGGTTGATGTGAAAGATGAGAAAATTACAGTTTCAAATATTGTTGGACAAAATGTGTAAGTCTTATTAGGACGTAATTACACTTATTTAAATTCTAATCATTTTTCTATAAGTTAGGGAGAGTAAATTGTTTATTTTCATTGTTCTATTTCAGTTTATGCATTTGATATTTAAGATATGATAATGTATAAAATTCGTTACAGGAGTGAAATAGAGGATATTTAAGATAAGATAATGCATAAAATTTGTTGCTAGATTGAAATAGAGGATATTTAAGCCATAGACAATAGATCATTGATAATTGTTTTTTATGATAGTAATAAAAAAGTAAGATGTTTTTAATAATTGAATTGGGATTTATCTGATGAGGGTTAAATAAATAAGAGTCATTCTGAAATAGGAACAACTTTAAAGAAATTTATTGGAACTAGTTTTTACCCTTTATAATAGCTATGGGCAGTAATATTAGAAAACGACATAATTATTAAATTATGGAATGTTAAAGCAAAGAAAATAATTAATATATTTTAAGGACATCGATAAATTATTAACAATTTAACTTTTTCAAGTGATGGACTTATTTTAGCAACTGCTAGTGAAGATTAATCTATTAGACTTTGGAATATTGATTTTATTGAATAAATTGATCCTTCTGCTGGCCATAGAGATACAATCAATGATATTGCTTTTTCTAAAGATGGACTTTTAGTTGCTTCATGTAGTCGTGATAAAACAATAATATTATGGGATCTTTTAGATAAAAAATTTATTGTTCAACTTGAAGGTCATCAATAAATAATAAATTGCCTTTAATTTTCTTATTGTTCTAAATTCTTGTATTCTGGAAGTGATGATAAATCTATTCGAGTTTGGAATATTGAGAATCCCTGGTAATCTAAGTTAATTAATATCTATTTTATTAATGATTTTCCTATGAAATCAATCTATTTATCACCAATAGATCCTAATATGTTTATCATTCGTTACTATAATTCTGTTTAAATTATCAATTAAGAGGATATTTAGACTTTTTGTGATTTATTACCAAGCGCCTATTTTCTAAATTTTAAAAATAATGATGAATTAATTTATTTAGTAGATGATTCTTCTTCTTATTACAAGAGTGACTATAAGAAAGATTTACTAATTTATGATATAAATAAGAGAAAATCAACACTAATTAAGTAAAAATATTATCCAAGAACTTAAATTATATGCTCAAATAATTAAATTCTTGAGTTATAAATTTAGATTTTTTTTGAAGGAGAGATAACCATATTATAGAAAAATTATAATTAAAATTGGATAGAAATTAATAATGTTTGTTTACCATTAGCTGAAAAGATAATGTTATCTCCAGACTACTAAACCTTAGTTTTGTAAACTAACAAAATACTCTCCTTTTGGAAATTTGAATTTCTAAAATCAAAAGTCTTAGATAAATCTTATGAATTAGAATTAATTTAAAAAGGACGCTTTCCTCTATATACAACTATTTCATCTTTTTGTTCTTTTGCTACATTTTATTATTATGAGAGAGAAATTAAATTCATTGATATCAATAATAGTTTAGAATCTGTAAATTACACAACCTTTGATGGTATTAATAAAGTTGAACATTTAAGAAACTATTAATTAGAAGATATATGTTTCTCATTTGATATGAAATACATTGCAGCTGTTTTTTATCAAGAACATTCAGTAATTTATTTTTGGGAAGTTATTAAGCCTGATTAATTATATAGGTTAAATGCAGAAAATAATATTTAAATTATTACTTTATAGTTTTCTTCAATTGATTCACACATTATTTATTCAGCATATAGTAATTGTGAAATAATTAAGTGGAATTTACAAACATTAGAGTCTAAATTTCTAACTAGATTCTAAAGTCTAGATTTATAGTAAGCGCAATAAGTCTTGTTTTCATCTCAATTTCATTATTTAATATTTATGAAGACATATTCAGATATTATTCTTATTGATCTTAAACAATAAATTCAAATAGAAAATATAGAAAGCATTTAATAGGCTTATAAATTTTGTTTTTCAGAAGATGAAAGTTTAATAGCTTATGCAAATTAAAATGAGTTGTGGCTATGCTGCATTTTGAACTCTCGTTTAATTGAAAAAGATAAATTTAATTTATTTTAAACAGAATTTATTAAATCTATTTAATTTTTTTTAAATGAGAAATTATTAGTTTGGTAGGTTTATAATCATTAATATGAAAATGAATATCATCTCATATCTGTTTTCGAAATTTAATTAAATTAAAAATTAAGAATTTTAGATTGTTTTTAAATAAAAGATAAGATCAGTGATTTTAAATATCATTAAATCAAATAATAACTTGTTGTATTATGTAAAAGCAAAATTTATTTTTTTAATATTTTAAATAGAATCATAGGATAAACAATTAAATTTGAAGATACACCTAAATACTGTTTTTCTTCAGATTCATAATATTTTGTTCTATTAAATCCAAATTTGAGTTTAAGAGACACAAAAGAATTTGAAGAAATTAAATCTTTTAATTACGAAGGTGATTAATTAGACTTTTAGAAATGTAATGAAAACCTAATTTTAGTTATTGCATAAGGAAAATTGTTAAGATTTTTAGATTTCTCAAATATTGATGATATTAAAGAGGTTCAGACATTAGATTTTGATATTTAAATAATTTCTGTTTAACTAACATCCAAATATTGTTTAACCTAACATTATATAAGGAATTAACAATCTGATTACTTATTTTAGATACATGATATTTAAAATTTACCACATATATTTAAATCAGATATTTATAGTGGCTAAAATGCAATTTTGTCAAAAAACAGTTAATATTTAGCTTATTCAAATAATATAAATACTAAAATAATAAAGACATACACTAAACATCTTTATGAAGATAAAGAACCAGATGACAATTTAAATTTTATCTCCTAATCACCAAGTGGAAAATATCTAGCAATTTAAACAAAAAATTCAGTTTTAATTCTGAACTACAATTCAATGGAACAAATACATAAATAGTTTTTAAGCGAAACATTAATCGATTTTTCTGAAAATTGGAAATTTATGGCATTTTCTGACAAAGGTAAGATAAAAATTAAAGAAATTTAAAATGAATGTTAATTTTTAGAAAATGAAAAATTAGAATTATATGAAGAAAATTATTCTCTAATTACATTTTCTTTATCATAAATTGGAAATTATCTTGCTTCTGGGAATATAAATGAAGTAAAAAATGAGTGTAAGATAATTTTATGGGATGTTGAAAAATGTAAGCTAATAGCTTAAAGTGGAAATTTAGATTCTTATGTAAAACATATAAAATTCTGTCCTGATGGTATTACATTTGCAGCAGCATTAGAAAATGGTCCTTTACATTTATATTAAATAAAGGAAAATTTCTAAGAAATATCTATTTCATGCTTTAAATCAATAGCAAGATAATCTACATTATTAGCTCACAAAAGTATTCTAACTAAAAAGTCTTAAGTAATGAAATCTCAGAACTCAATAAGAGAATTATTCATTTAGAAAGGAGCGATTTTAAAAGATAATTGAAAATTATAAATAAATGCAAAAAAATAATATCAAAATTTATTTATAAGCATTTTCTTGTGCTCCTACTTTATCTTTTATATTTCTTATTTTTAATCTAAGTATTGAATATCAATATTTGAAATTGAACCGTTACGTTGATTTCTCCAACAATAAAATTTATATCTCATTACTCAAGAAAGAACAAAAATTAAAGGAATATCATCAATTTAAATTATTTAATTTGATATATTATATTAATAGACAGAGAGAATAATTTTTGTATTTAATATTTGTTAGTTTTTTTTCTAGTTTCAAGTACAAGCACTCTTAACCTTATTGACACAGCATCCAAAATTATTTGATTAACATAATTCGTAAGTTTATGGTATTGTAGAAACATCAAATAAATAACAATAAAACGAATTTAAAAAGAAATCTTCCTTTAAGTAAAGTTAAAAATAGAGAAATGAGATAAATTTATTACCATTTATGTCATTGGAAATGAATTTGTCTAAAAATTTTTAAGTAAAGAATTTTAAATGATCTTCTAATTAACAATAATTTTCATCATCCCTTTTATTTATTCTTCATTTTAAATATTATTTATTAAAAAAATGAATAAATTATATTTAATTCTTGACATTAAACTGATTTTTGAGATAATTTAAATGATGTTGTATTTTTGATCAATAATAAAATGAAATAACATAGAAATTTCTTTATCATAATGAATAATTAAAAAAAATATATTAAGAATTTAGGAAAATGATCAATCTTTATTTAAATACTATTTTTATATAAATGATATTTATTTAATACTGATTAATAAATTTTTCCATCCTAAGAAACAATTATATATCCTATTCATTGCAAGATTTATTTAATTAATATTGTTTATTGAACTTCTACTTAATAAAACTTATAGTAAATACATGAGCTAATCATCATAAAAGAATTGATATATCTTATTGATATTTAGTTATTTTGTGTAAGTCTTATATTTGGCTTGTCTATTTATTTTTATAATAAAACTTTTTAATAAATAGAATTAGAATCTTGCAATAATAAATATATATTTCAGGAAATTATTTTGGTTCTTACTACAATGATGACAAAATAAATTGTAAATCCATTTATAATTAAATCCATAAAAATTAATTGTATTTATCTTTGAGATAGGAAGTAAATTCAAGATTTTTATATGATAAATTTTATTCTCCTATAATCATTTAGATTTTTTAAAATTTTATCGTACTGAATAAAATTAATCTTAAATATATATAAATATTTAAAATAAATTTTTTTCGAAAAATAGTTTTTTATGAACTTGCGTACCTATTGAATTTCATAAAACAACAATAATATAATTAATTATTTTTAATGAAGTTTGGATTTTTCTTCAAAAATGAAAGATGGTAGTTTAAATGAATGATAAAGAAAGAGACATTGTAATTTTAGATTATCAAGCATTAGATTAAATGTTAAAATTATTAAGATTAATTGATTGAAAAATCTTCGATAATTAAAGAAGTTAAATTTGAAATATCCTAATAAAAACAGATTTTTGGAATAATTAATAATTAATTTATTTTCATGATTTTATGTCATTAATAATAAAAATATTCATAAAATAATCATATTTAACTTTCAATGAAAATAATGTCAAAATTCTAAATATTATAATATGACAAATCTTTTTCATCTTTTAATATCTTCCCATTGTATCTTAAAATATAAAAATCTGGAGACATTAAAGAATAATTATCAGATATCTTCTATTTAAGCTCATAAACCTTATTATTTGGATTTATTTTTATTATGAAATCATCAAAATCATCAGAATCAATTATTGTAATTTCATATAGAGTCTTTAAATTGTTAAATAAATATAACTTACTGTCTTCTTCAATATTACAATCAACAATTCTAAGATTACTTTCTAATTCTTTTCCTTTATAAAATAAGTGTTATTTATCAACTGGAAATTTTGATTACGATTCGATTTCATTTTTGATATCTTATATAGTTTCATATTGTTCTTTTTTAATTTAAAGTGATATTGATTAGGTTTGAATTGAAAACTTAATGTATTTTAATTCTACTAGTTCTAGTATTGAAAAATCAGATATATCATAAAACAACAATAGATTTTCATTTTTCAAGATCTAGTTTTTATATATTAAATGAAAGTCACCTAAATCACAATATTTTTAATTTAATCTTGTTTTCAAATTTTTAATAGTCAGTTTTTCATCTAAATTAACCATAATTTTTCTATTTTTTGATGCTTGATTGATGTAAATAAGATTTTTCAACTTCAACAAAACAATAGAATGTTTTTAAATTTTATAATAGAATAATTTTATGTTTTCTTACAATTAAATATTTTTGTAATATAATACTTATGAATTAATAGGATAATTGAAATTTATTGACAACTAATGTTTTATTTCACAAACACAATCATTAAGATTTACTTTTATAATATGTCTTTTGTTATTGTATATTACTATAATATTATTACTACAATTAATTTTAAGATGTAAAGTGGAATTTTTCTGTATTGTCTTACTATTAATCTTATTCAAAAATTTAGGGCCCAAATACAATTTCTATCTATCAGGGGGTATTCCTTCTCTTTGTAAAATTTATCCTGTAATTTATTACAAATATTCCTCATTTTTATTAACATCAAATGAGAGAATCCTTCCATTTGGTATTTATACAAAAATTTAGATTTTCCTATCCTCATAAAAATAAGGATGGTTGACATTAAATAGGTTTCCTTATTTTGAAAATGTCATTTCATCTTTTTAATTTTCTTCCTTATCATAGAGATTGTTGTGATTATTATTTAAAGACAAGTTTTGATCTTTCAATACTTCATAAGTAAATTAGTTATTCATCTATTGAGATAATGCCTAAAAGGTATTAATAGAATTATCACTATTAGATATTTACATTAATTCGTATAATTTTAATATTTATTAATAAAAAAACTTTGTCTTCCTATAAAAATTCACAATTTATAATAATAATTAGTTATAGAATTCTAATTACCTAAAATTCCTGGTTATTTAAACAAAGATAGTATCCTCTTATTAGGTATTTTTGAAAGGTGAACTTTATTTTTTATGCAATCATTAATAATTCTTTTATAAATACCCATTCCTCTTAGTTTAAGTACTCTAAACTTTATAACTGTAATTTTTTTATCTTAAAAAATAAGAAAATTAGAACAATGTATAGAAATTTTTCAATAACATAATCATTAAAAAGCAACATCTTTTATAAAATGATTTTTGAATTTGCCATCCTTCTAATAAAATTATATTATTTTTTTTAAATACAAACTTTAGAATGCATATTTACTAATTTTTTTGAAATTCTTTTTTAAACATTTTAATCTGTAGCTAAAGCTAGTAAATTGCTTACAAAATTAATGAGCATATTTAAAGATGAAAGAAATATACTTAAACTATTAAAGTTGTTGTATCATTGAAATAATATGATGTAAATTAAGTGTTTTATAATTGTTGAATAGGATAATATAAAGTTGTATCGAAAATAAAGAATTTACTAATAGAGAAAATGGAGAAATTGCAATATTGAATGAAAAATTCAAAGGATTATACAAAGAATTAGAATCTAAAAAACAGATTTTGAATAAGCTATCCAAAGAGCTTTCCAGAATTTCTTCTCAAAGACCAAAATCAAGTCGTATTAAAGCTTTCATTTGTAGAATTTTTTGAGTAAATAAATCAAAATATATTATTCTGAGTTGCTTTCTCAAGTTTAAGACATTATGAAAACATGAATTAAGAACTATAAAAGAAATAAATCTAACAATATGAGACAACAAGCATTATGAACAGGATTTTAGCTCTATTTTTAATTCACATCTTATTTTCTTTCTCTTTAAATCTAAATCTATCTCTCTTACATTTAAAACAATGAGAATATTTCTCATAATGTTTTAATACTTCATAAATAAATTTTATGATAAAAATTTGGTTGAGATATGTTCCTTTTATAAAACTTGCTAAAACAAATTTAAGAGGTATTGATTTTGAATTGGCTTCTTTCATTATAGCTAAAGTGTTGTTTTAATTTATCAAGTTTTTTCTCACTTTTAATTCACCTTAATAATCTATATGTCACCTTGTATATATTATTTGTTTAAATTTTCAGACAGTATTATTACTTTAAGTTTATAAGTTTAATTATGAATGCTTCTGTATCATTTATAGGAATCCTATTAATTTAAGTTTTTTCTAAATGATTAAAAAATAAATGGACATCTTTAAATTTATGATTTATTATATGTAAATTGTTGAGATAAATATTGAAATTGTGATAATAAAAAATGATCCTAATAATTATTTAATGGATAGAACTTTTTCCAGTAATTGTAGAGCATCATAATATATCTTCATTAATCTTAAATACAATCAATTAAATTATGAAGAGATAAATAGTTACTTATTTATGTAAATACATTTAAAATACCTTTACTAGATAGAGTGCAGATTTTTTGGATCGATAGCTAATGCTTTTACATCAAAATGATTGCATCCTCGTCTTTGTTAACATTGTTATATACAATATTATCCATAACCTTTTCTTAAAATATTGTTTTCATCTTTTATACTATAATGAATCTAAGAATTATAGATTTTTATTTAATCAATAATAGAGCTTCTATTAAAACTAACCATCCAGATATTTTCTGATGATATTTGATAGCCTGAAAATGTTACTCACCCTCATAAGTTTTTTATATAATTTTCTATCATTATCACCTTTTAAATAATAATTTAATGATGATGGATATTAAATAATTAATATCAAATCAATATCATTACACCAACTCTTTGATGTGGGAAAAAATTAAAATTTAATAATTTTATTTTCTCATCAATAATCATTTAGTCATTTATAATTCAACCTTTCATTAAAAATATTTTATATCTCATAAATAGATTAAAAATAAATTAATGTAATTCCTTCTCAAGTAGGAGTAAAATTACAAATTAAATTTTAAAAAATAAAATTTTAAATTATTTAGTTATTTAGGTGGACGTTCTGGAATAAAAAAGTATAGGAGAGAAGCATATTATTGGTTAAGGGTATCATAAACAGCTTTGTCTCTCGATCTCTACCAGAATGCCCACAAGTAACATCATTAGTCAGAATTCGTAGGATCCAAATGTGAGTGAAATAAAAAGATGCATTCCAGTTACCACCACTGTGCCAAAGCCGAGACTGGAAGTGCAAAACTAACAAACCTCATATCTAAGCTAGATTCACTTAGCATTTGAGAGAGTAATGTTTAGGGGTCTAATATAGCATGGGAATGGTTAGTCTAAACAGCTATAGTAGGCTATGGTGGGTCACAGGGGACGTTATGGAGTTTGAGCTCTCTTAAAAACTGTTGAGGAGGAATGTGTCGAAATGATGTATTGATTTTTTGGATCGACCTGAAAGAGAAAGAAGGAGAAATGAAGAAGAGTTTTGGGCTAGGATTGGATCCTAACTGTTAAGTCCTATCGTAGTTTTAAAGCCTTCTTATTGAATAATGTTCCTGGGGCGAGTGGACACAACTTGGATTATCAAAAGAATCGAATGGACAAAATTTAGAGGATAACAACTGAATTATTTCAAGAAAAGTTATCCAATTTTTACAAATGAATTTTTTTATTGTGAAAAAAAAAAATTTAGATTCAATAGACCAATTAAGCTATCCTAATCAGGTCAATTGTTATCATCTCAGATAATCATGAATAATCTCCCTGATTAAATTTTTATTAAAGAATAATAACTTACATGTATATTTTTAAAATGATTTCTGCTTTATTTCATTTTTAATCCGCATATTTTATTTATAATATTTTCTTGTCTATTAATTATTTAAATTTCATAAATATTATGTGGAAATTGTTCATCAACAATAGTAATTTTTTTTAAAATAACCAAAAATCCGATTTCAGACATTTATTGTATATTTAGGAGTATCTATTCTAAAGCATATTTTCAAATTAAATTGTCATAATTTTTAATTTTTTCTAAATTCTTGGTGAACTTTAAAAATTATTTTCTAAAAATAAAGTACAACAAAAGGCTGATACGATTTAAAATCTTTATAAAAATATTTTCAATTTCAATTCTTCATCTCATTATTCTTCTAATTTAATTAAGAAATCATGAATAAAGAATAGAAAAATAACTCTATATATTCTTTTATAATACATAAAGATCAAATATTAAATAAGTATAAATTTTTTTAGCTTTCTTAACCATCTGACTTATGTTCAAAATTTAAGTACTCCAGTTGTTTTGTATTGACAATTATATAATTGATAAGTTAATTAAAAAATAATATTTTAATAAAGTTAAAATAACATAAATTAGCATTATCTTATTTTTTTATTTAATTAATTTACCGTGAATAATTCATATTATTTTCATATAGCTAAATGAATAGGAATAAAAATTATCTAATTTTTAATATCACCCAAATATACAATGGATGTAACATTTCTTCGTAAATTTGATAATCTGATTGAAAATTTGATATGATAATCTTTTTGAAGTTTTTATTTTTAATTAAATAATAAAAATTTTTTAATTTATCCAATAACCTCTAGAAACATTGTTTTAACGATAATTTTAGATATTCATTATAATAATAATGTATATGCAATATAATGTATTTTGAAGAACGTTGTTAATTCTGAAAATTTTATCAATTAATTTTCCGAAATAGACAATTTTCGAAAAAATCAATTTTTTTAATAGTTTTTATGCATTACTCCTATCCCAATGGTCTAAACAAAACAATAGACATTTAGAAAGTTAATTACTACATCATTTGATTATAACTATATTAGCTTCATTACATCATCTAAAATTATAATACATAAATGTTTAATAATATAATATCTAAAAAATATTTCAGAGGATAGGGTTTTGATTTGAATAATATAAATAAAATCCTTAAATTTTTTCATTTAAGTCAAAAGATAGAATGAGAATGGAGAACATCTTTTTTTTGTTAATACTAAGTGAAATTCTTTATTAAAGTAATTCGAAAAATATTTATAGCATATTGTTGTCCAAGCTCCTGTTTTTAATGTAGTGGGGCTAGCACAAATTGCAATATTTGTAACCCAGGCTTCTTTAAGAGTGGTAATGACTGTCTTGCTTGTACTAAACCATGCGAAACTTGTTCAACAAGTATTACAACTTGTTCTACATGTGTTGATACTGCAAATTAATTAACTCCAACTTGTGCATGCAATAGTGGTCTTGTAATGAATACATCAACATATTTTTGTGAAAGTTGTTCGATTAATTGTTAAGTTTGTAGTTCTCCCACTATTTGTACTTAGTGTAATGCTGGTTATTGGCTAAATGGCAACTCGTGTAGTCCATGCATAAAACCATGCGCCAATTGTTCATTGAGTGGTAGTAATTGTAGTACTTGTGTTGATACTGCAAATCAAACACCATCCTCATGCAATTGTCCATCTAATTATATAATAAATACTTCTAATTACTTTTGTCTTTAATGTTAATTTCCATGTGCTACCTGCTAAACAACAGTAAGTTATTGTTTAACATGTGCAACAACATATACTATAGATTCAAGTACTCATACATGTTCATGTTAAAATAATTAATATGATACAACTACAACATGTTAAAATTGTACAAGTCCATGTTAGACTTGCACAGTATCTGCAACTAATTGTGGCTCTTGTGTAGATGGATTGCATAGACATCTAGATAATAATTAATGTATTTGTGATAATGGTTATTATGAAAATACTACTTGTTAACCATGTTAATTACCATGCATTAACTGTACTTCATCATCAACATGTACTTCATGTAATGATCCGACTTATTAATCAGGAACATCTTGTTAATGTTAATCAACTTATTTCATGAATGCTTCTTTTATGTGTCAAAGTTGTGTATCCCCTTGTTAAAATTGTACTTCTGAATCCTTATGTACATCATGTGTTTAAAATTATTACATTTCAGGAAATACTTGTATTTAATGTACTTCACCATGTTACAATTGTGTTGATCTTTCCACAAAATGTACATCTTGTATTAATACTAATTTAACACCAATCAATAACTTATGCGTTTGTCCAGACGGATATTATGCTGATACATCATTAAATTGCCAACCTTGTATTCATCCTTGTACAAAATGTGAAACAAATGGAAATCATTGTTTACAGTGTGCATCTACATTTGAAATGAGTACTACTACTCCAAATACTTGTGTTTGTCCTACTAATAAATATTTAGTAGTAACTAATACACCTACTGATTGTCAGCTTTGTACATAACCATGTGAAACATGTTCAGGAACAGCAGTTCATTGTTTATCATGTATAGATACTAATCAAACCGTTGATGGATCTAATGAATGTTAATGTGATGCTGGATTTTTTATGAGTGGAGTAAACTGTGATACATGTGTAAGTCCTTGCCTAGAATGTTTAGGAAGTGCTGATTACTGTACTCAATGCAAAGATACATAACATTATGAAAATAATGGGCAATGTATTTGTAATCCAGGTTATATTAATGATAATAACTATGATTGTATTCCATGTTAAGATCCTTGTGCTACTTGTTTTTTAGATGATACTCATTGCGATAGTTGTACAGATTCAAATCATTAAATTAATGCATCTGATTAATGCATTTGCAAAGACACTTTCTATTCAAATGCTATAGATACATGTGCACCATGTGTATCACCATGTGTCTTATGTGATAGTAATGGATGTTTATCATGTATTGATGCTAATTAAATAATAAATTCTTCAAATAATTGTGTTTGTAAACCAGGATATTATGAAGTAGGTTTAAATTGTTCATAATGTGTAATACCATGTGAAACTTGTGAAATCAATTAAAATCATTGTTTAACATGCGTTGATACTAATTAAACTCAAATCAATAATTAATGTATATGCAATGATGGATATTTTGAAGTCAATCATATATGCTAATAATGTTAATCTCCTTGTACAAAATGTCAAAACACGAACGATTATTGTCTATCATGTTCAGATCCAAATCATGATTTAATCAGTAATAAATGTGTATGTAAATATGGATATGGATAATCAGGAACTAATGGAACAGCTTGTTCCCTTTGTTAATACCCTTGTCTTGATTGCTCAACAAGTGTAAATACATGTCTCTCTTGTGTTGATACTATTATATTCCACCTTGATAATGACAAATGTTTATGTTAACAAGGTTATTTTCAGATTGGAACTAATTGTATATAGTGCTCATCATAATGTTCCACCTGCGTTGATTTATCTAGTAAATGTTTAGGATGTTCTGATCCAAATTCAGTGTTGAATCAAAATGATTGTCTGTGTAAACCAGGCTATTATTAAAACAATTTTATGATTTGTGAAGAATGCTAACTTCCTTGTCTAACATGTATATCGAATCAAAATTATTGCACATCTTGTTATGATTCAGGAATGCAATAGGCAATCGGAGGTTAATGTGTATGTTTTGATGGATATTATATTCTGAATAATCTATGTGAAAAATGTAATTAGATATGTAGCAAGTGTAATTCATATAATAATTGTACTGAATGTATAGATGGGTATTATTTAAATAATTAATAATGTTTAAAATGTTAAACACCATGTTAAACATGTTTTGATGAAAACACTTGTAAAAACTGTATTGATAATTATACTATGAATAATCTAGGAATATGTATTTAATGCATTTAAAATTGCCAAAAATGCATCGATTCAATTAGTTGTATTACTTGTTTTGATAAATTTTATTATGACTATTAATCTTGTATTCCATGTTCTTATAAATGTTTGACATGTGAAAATGATTCAGATTTTTGTACTTCTTGCCTAAACACGAGTCAAGTATTAATAGATAATTAATGTTATTGCAAAGAGGGTTATTATGAAGAAGGGTAAGATTGTAAACCTTGTGATTATATGTGTAAAATTTGTAATAGCTTATCATATTGTTCAGAATGTATAAAATTAGATTATGTTGAATTAAAAATAAATTCATGTGTTTGTGAAGATGGTTATTTTTTAGATAATAAATCATGTTAATTATGTGATAAAAGATGTAAAACTTGTTCTGAAAATTCTGATAATTGTTTGACTTGCAATTCTTAAATGAATAGAGTAAAATCGTAAAATACTTGTATTTGTTAAGATGGATATTTTGAAAATGATAATAATGATTGTTGGCCATGTGATTCAGATGAGGGCAAAATAATTAAGAATTGCAAATATAAAAATTGTAATGATAAAGTGTGGACATATGAAGAAGAATGTGATGATGGTAATGAGTATTCTAGAGATGGTTGTACTAATTGTAAAATTGATACGCAATATTCATGTATAAATATTCTACTTTAACCATCAATTTGCTTTAAATGCAGTGAAAACTGTTAAGAATGTTAAATGATTGAATCTAAAAAATAATCTGGATGTACTAAATGTCATCAAGGCTATTTTCTAATTTAAGATCAATGTGTTTAATGTGCTGAAAAATGCTTAGATTGTAAAATTAGTGCTTCTAATTGCATAAGTTGTAAATACCTATAAAATCAATAAGGGCAATGTTAATTATGTCAAAATGGTTATTATTTTGATTAAACTAATAAAAAATGTATTTCTAGATGTGGAGATTCTATTAAAACAATAGAAGAAGAATGCGATGATGGTAATTTATAATCAGGAGATGGATGCAATTAAAATTGTAAAAAAGAATAGAAATTCATATGCAAAGGTGGAACATGTATCATTCCAGAATATCCTGTTCCAATGTTATCTAGTTATGGCGATACTTAATTATATAATAACATCAGAAAGTTTAAATTAGAATATAATTTATTTCTAAATATCCCTGAAGATAATTTGATAGACAAAAGGATCAAATTATTTATAAAAAAATAGAATAATATTAATTCTATTGATAGTCCATATAATATGAAAACATAATATACTTTGAATAATTAATCCAATCTTAATTTTTCAATACATTTCTAGATTTTATTTAATAGAAGTACAACAAAAGAAGAATTTTTGATTCAATTTCCTAATCCTTCATATTTTATATCTGATCAAGGATATCCATAAATATTATCTGAAGTTTCAACTGCCATTCCAGAATATATTTTCATAAATTAAGCACAAGTAAATCAAGTAGAAATGGCTGGTACTAGCAATTAAATATTATTATACATAATGGCTGTAATGGCTGGAGGAGCAATCTTATTTGGTGGAATAGATATTTTTTATAATCTATTAGATACAATCTAGATGTTATCCTACTTAAAGTACATTAATACTTAATTTCCTTTTAATTTATAATCATTTTTTGACTTTTTTGGTTTTGCATAACTCAGCTTCGTCTCAAAATATTTACAATTGTAAGAATTAATTGATCCTTATATTGATTATGATAATCTTAAATAAATACCTGAAAAAATTTAAATGGATGAACTAAATTCATTATTTATTATAAATGGATCTTCCATACTATTTGTATGGCTTACACTTGTAGCAGTTTATATATTCTGTAAATACTTACCATATCTATTGAATGAGATTAAATTAAAATATTATAATGAAATACCTGGATAAATTGATTTTGTTTTAAAATGTAAGCTTGGGATTTTAGCTTTAAAAATATTGATCATTGAATTATGTTTAACTGTTGTATAGGAATTCTTCTATAGTGGTATTTTAAGAACATTTTTTGCAACTGCTTATGATTATACATTTTCAATGACTCTTTAACTTTTTGCTTTAGAGTTGAATTGTTAAAATTTGCTTGTAAGATTCAGTTCCTTATTAGCTTTAATAGCATTGGGCATCTATTTATTAATTATTTATATAATAACTAAAAAATGTGGAAGCCTAAAATTTACGATTGAAGAATATTAATATAGACTTAAATTCCTATCACTTTTTGAAGGAATAAAATATGGTAATTACTGTAGATATTATTATGCCATAAGTCTAGCGAAAAAGTTATTATTTATGTTAATACTTATATTTTGTTATCAGTAGCCTTATTTTTAAGTGTTAAATTTAATTCTCCTGTCGATTATAGAAATAATATGGTTGATTCATTTTTAACCATTGGAAGATATGAATGAATATTTTAAATAAATTTCATGCGAGATTAATAAATCTATTGCTCTATTTTTTATTTCAGGATTAGTTTTAGACTAAGAAGCAAAAATTTTTAGTGAAGATATACGATCAATTATTGGATGGATTTGCATAGGAAATATAAGTTTAATTTTGATTATTTAATTAATAATCGATGCTATTTAGTAATGGATATTCTTAATCAAAAAATACAAAAAATTCAAAAGAATGGTCGAAAAATTTTATAGATTTTGGAATCCCCAATAGTAAAGAGCAGATCATTAAATATTTAAGTGATTTATCCTTTAATTTTAATTCTATTTAATTAATACATATTATCAACATTATAAAATTTAATTTAGCATTAAAATATCTAATTTGAATCAAGATCTTTACCATAATAGACACTTATGAAATATTATCAACTATCATTCATTCATTTTAGATATTGATATTTGAAGATATTATAATAAAATTCATAAATATATAAAAGTACAATTTTCTTTGTA